GGAGATCAAAATATTCAAAACATTTCTCATTGTCACATGTACTTTTCTGATTTCCTGGACACCATTTGTCGTGATTCTCTTAACAGATTCAATCTCACCTGTTCCGGGTCTTATCAGACACTCATCCATCATCCTTTTATACTGCAACAGTGCACTGAATCCATTCATATACGGCTTTTTTAATTCCGAGATAAGGAAGGCACTGTCCGAGACTTTTAACTGTAAATGTATTCCACCTTTTGAGAGATAGTGGCAGAGCGGAGTCGGCCTTGAGCTGGAGACTTTATAAAGACCATTTTGGGGCTTTTTACAGCTTAAAAAAAGGGGAATAGTGGCATTTTCACAGTGCTGCCTCAGTTCCGAGTTCAGGTATCTACAGCGACAAAGGGCAACAAAAATACAAGAGCCTCTTCGGTTTAGCCTTTGAAACAGGTTTCGATCGAATGAGCAATGAAACAGTTACAACACCTACAGTTCATCAGTGGTCTATTTTCTACGTGGCACTATAGATGATAACTCGCGTTATATTTATTTGATCTGCCGGTAGATGATAGAGACACCTCATTAAAAATAATTGTTTTCCAAAGACAGTTAATGCTGTAAATAAATTAAAACTTGTTTGGAACATATTCACTATGGGGTGAAAAGGTGGGCGCCAATACTTTTATATAAGTTTGTATATCTTCAGCAGTATTATTCCCCTGACAAAAGAAAGTCGAGTAATTATTCCCAGAACTGCGGTCAATATCTGAAACGGATCCAATGAATAAAGGCGTAATGATACTCATATCAACTTCTAACAATAATAAACAACTACCTCTCCAACTGGTGTGAAAATGTGCTCGAATACTTGTTAGAGTTTGAAAAATGAAAGCAACGAGCTTTACCCCTCAGTTATCCATTGTTTAAAGACTCAAGTGAACAAGAGTACAAAAGGTGAAACCTGCGTTTTTGTGTCGGTAAAAGTGACTGAATGTAAGAAACTTCATGAGGAACGTGCGTCTGGGTATTTCAAGTTTTCTTTTATAGTATAGTTATGGTGTTCGTGATGCGAACTGACGTGGAAAATCTCGTTTCCAGGGAAACACAATGAAAAAAAACATCAGTCTACGAAAACACTGTATCGAGTATATCAAAGTCTCTTACTCTTAGTCATTTACTCTATCTCAATGCACTTGTTTGATGATTTTTTAAGAATCGTTACGTTCACGTGAAATTGATAGGCGCAAAAGTTGGACCTTACACTGATAACAATGACGGTCATAAGAGTTCACGTACGCCGCGTGTCGAGTGTCAAGTGTATGAGTGGCACCAAACATTTTTCCCTTCCATTGTAAAATTATTTATCTCCTTCTCCTATTTTGAATTAAGATCTCACTATCGAGACGGAATAAAAACACTTAAATAAAAATGCTTTAACTCTGAAATCTTCCGCAGAGTTCACGACGTAATGGCGTTCATCGCTATGATGTTTCTATTGAAAGTTAAACCACGAACCTTGACTGAATGGGCTCCTGATTGGGAAGAATCATCTGATTATTATAAATCACCATTGTGTTGCGGTTGATGACCTTGGCTTTGAGTGGTCAAATTCATTTGAGGCTAGGCCTTTTAATTCACTTTCAATAGGGCCAGATAACTACTACATCACCTCGAACAAAAAATCATCATAAGTTTAATAAATTTCTATTGGATATTTCAATAAAAAGTGTCATTGCATCATATGCCTAGAAGATTCAGCTACGGCATAGTACAAATGTTTACATTCAGAATATCTAAGAAAAAAAAGGCAGTACACTGTTTTCATTTTCAAGTTTTTAAACTAAGAGAACACTAATGCCATGATGATAGGGTTTCAACTCTTCCGAAGTAAAGATTTGGAAGCGAGCAGACGACCCACTGTTCCAGCGGATTCTCGTCTTTGAATCGACTGAACTGAATGGCCTCCTGTTTCTTTTTCAAGGCCTCCAGGTTTGTTTGACAGGATGACTTCTGCCAGTAAAGGTTCGTCTCATTGTCGTGAAGAAGACTGTAAAAAGAGATAAAAGATATTTACAGCTTGAAGTGATTTTTTTTTTCCTGATTTGCCCCATTTGAGAGCACTAGCTTTCGTTCTCCCCCCCCCCCTTCCCTCCTTACTTGCCAATCTCCATGCGCTGACCGAGGACTGTTATAGAGTGTAGTGATTATTTGAGAACTCACAATATTTTAGTGTGAAGAATTAAAAATTCGGATTTAACCTTTTAAGAACGCCATAGTGTACGGTTATTAAACAGCAATTTAGTTACCGGTAGTTGTTATCCAGAAAGTCACATCTATTTTCTGTAACATTCAGAGCAACTTGCTCAAAGAA